ATTGCTTTTAGATAGAGTAGAAAGGAGGGGGGGGAGAGGAGAAACATTGATGTGTGAGAGAGACATTGATTGGTTGCTTCCCCCATGTGCCTGGACCAGGCTGGGGATCAAATCTGCAACTCAGGTACATGCTCCTGACCAGGAATGGAACCTGAGACCCTTTGGTGTGCGGGCCGACGCTCTAACAAATGAGCAACACTGGCCAGGGCAAATTCTCATTATTTTCAATACGTCTTTCCTTATTACTCACTTGCTTTAACTAGAACTTTGAATCTTCTGCCTTTTAGTACCTAAGGCTTGAAGACCAGCTTCTGCCATACCACTGTTTGGGTACATCACAACAAGGTCTGCATTCAGTGATAAAGAATTGGACCAGAATGTTATTTTATTAGTTAATTACCAAAGTTCCCCAAAAACTTTGCTTTTAGTTAAGTCAGTCTAAAGTAAAGAATTCTCTCTCTCATACCCCTTTTCTTTCTTTATACATGGGTTTTGCTGGGTTTATTTGATTTGATTGACAAGTAGAAGAAATAAAAATAGAGTAAACTTGTGACCTGGTATCTTGTGAATTTTAATTAATCTTTTTTTTCTAAATTAAAAAAATTTGACTGATTTTATTTTACTTTTTAAAATATATTTTTATTGATTTCAGAGAGGAAGGGAGAGGGAGAGAGAGATTGAAACATCAATGATGACAGAGAATCATTGATCGACTGCCTCCTGCACATCCCCTACTAGGAATCGAGCCCACAACTGGGGCATGTGCCCTTGACCGGAATCGAACCCGGGACCCTTCAGTCCACAGGCCGACGCTCCATCCACTGAGCCAAACTGGCTAGGGTAATTTTGACTGTTTTCAGAGAGAGGAAGGGAGAGAAGAGAGAGAGAATCATCAATGAGAGAGATAAACGTAGATCCGTTGTCTCCCATACACACCCAGATTGGGATCGAACCCGAACGAAACCTGGACGAAACCTGGCTATGTGACCTGCCCGGGAATCGAATCAGCCACATTTTGGTGTATGAGATGATGCTCCAACTAACTGACCCACACTGGCCAGGGCTAATTTAATCTTGATGTAATTTTTCTAAACATTGCTTAAAAATTAACAAAAAGTAATTCAGATTAAAGCCTCAAGTAACAATTTAAAAAAAATATTTTTATTGATTTCAGAGAGAGAGAAAGAGAGAGGGAGAGATAGAAACATCAATGATAGAGAATCATTGATCAGCTGCCTCCTGCAGCCCCACAACCCGGGCATGTGCCCTGACTAGGAATTGAACAGTGACCTCCTGCTTCATAGGTCGACGCTCAACCACTGAGCCATGCCGGCTGGGCTTAAATAATAATTTTTAAAATTAAAAATACTATGCCAAATAAATCCTTAAAAAACAACAATACTATGCATCAATACAAATTTTTAGCCTCTTTCTCAGTTTGCCTCTTTGAGAAATAAGGGAGTTAAGTGATTAAACATGGTCTAATTCCTGATCCGAGACCACCCAGAAGTCACTAAGAAATATTAAAGCCACAGGTTCTGGCCGGTGTTTCTCAGTGGTTAGAGCATTAGCCTATACACCAAAGGATCTCAAATTCCATTCTCAGTCAAGGACATGTGCCTAGGTTGCAGATTTGATCCCCGGCCTGGTCAGGGTGTGTGGGAGAAACAACCACTGAATGTGTCTCTCTGAGACACATCGCTGTATCCCTCCCTCCTTCCTTTCCTCCCTGCCTCCCCTCCCCTCCCCCCCTCCCACTCTATCTAAAAGCAATGGAAAAATATTCTCTGGTGAGGATTAAAAAAAGGAAGAAAGCCCTAGCCAGTTTGGGTCAGTGGACAGAGCATCGGCCTGTGGACTGAAGGATCCGGGTTTGATTCTGGTCAAGGGCATGTGCCTCAGTTGCAGGCTCCTCTTCAGCCTGGGCCCTGGTCAGGGCTCATTCAGGAGGCAACCAATAGATGTGTTTCTCTCACATGGATATTTCTCTCTGTCTTTCCGCTCTCAAAAAATCAATGAAAAAATATCCTCGGGTGAGGATTAAAAAAATAAAAAAGGAAAGCCCTCGCCAGTTTGGCTCAGTGGCTAGGTGTTGGCCTTCGGACTGAAGAGTCCCGGGTTCGATTCCGGTCAAGGGCACATATCCCAGTGAGGGGCATGCAGGAAGCAACCCATCAGTGACTCCCTCTAATCATTGGTATTTCTCTCTCTCCCTGTCCTTCCTCTCTGAAATCAATAAAAATCTTCTCTCTCTTTATATAAAAGCCTAAGCGACTGGCTGGCCAACTGGCAGCTATGATGCACACTGACCTCCAGGGGGCAGATGCTCAACACAGGAGATGCTGAGTGACAGCAACTTTGCAGAGTGCCCTCTTGCACTCTGGGACCCCTCGGGATGTCGGACTGCCGTTTTGCCCCTATCCCCAAACCTTGCAGGCCAGGCCGAGGGACCCTACTGGTGCACGAATCCGTGCACTGGGCCTCTAGTATATTAAAAAAATAAAATAAAAAGAAAGAAATATTAAAGCTACAAATAAGAGTACATTTATTTTTTGTCTTTTTGGATGCCAGGGTTATATAAAAAATGTGAATTTCCATAGCCTTGCTTATGTTTTAAATTTTTGGTATGAGATTGAAACCTCTGTTAGTATTTTTTACTTATGGTAAAAGTTTACTCAGCAGTTTGGTGATGATGCTCTTCTCTTTTATCTTTTTTGGGTTGTTTTCACTTGGAGGCTTTCTGTGGACATTCTCAGAAGCCATAGTATCATTTTGCCCTGAACAAGGAATCACCTATACACAGAAATCAAGGAAAATGTGGTATTTTCACTTTATTTTATTTTTTAAAATACTTTAAAATTGATTTTTAGAGAGGGAGGAGGGGAGAGAGAAACATCAATGATGAGAGAGCATCATTGATTGTCTGCCTCCTGCACACCCCTACCCACACTGGGGATCGATAGAGGTTTAAAATGTGTCTGGTAACATACAGTGGAATTCTGTTGTTGGAATTAGAATAAATAAGACACACATTTAATAGACACCTGCCTTCTAGACATGATTTTTATAACCAGTATGATTCTTTGAATGTTATTTTCAATTGTGAAGGGAGGGTCCGACTAGCCTGGTGAATGTTCTGTGTCATATGGTGGTTGGAACTATTTGGACTGTAGCTTTGTGTTTGTTTCCTCTGGAAGAAACTGCAAAGGAGTTGTTTAAGCAGAAGGATTTTAGGTTGGAGTTTCTTAGTAATTTGAAGTCTTTCACAAATAAATAAACAAGTTCACTACATAGTAGATGGCTTTAGACTTCCTTGTAGGGAGTTTGTTGTCCTTATAACCTCTTGGGTCTGGCACTTCCTTAATAGAGAGTTCAGAAGTGGAAAATAGCAAACTTTTTAAAAACTCTGAATAGGAAGAAGATGAATTAGCACAGTGGTTCTCAACCTTCCTAATGCCGCGACCCTTTAATACAGTTCCTCATGTTGTGGTGACCCCCAACCATAAAATTATTTTCGTTGCTACTTCATAACTGTAATTTTGCTACTCTTATGAATTGTAATGTAAATATCTGATATGCAGGATGTATTTTCATTGTTACAAATTGAACATAATTAAAGCATAGTGATTAATCACAAAAACAATATGTAGTTATATATGTGTTTTCCGATGGTCTTAGGCGACCCCTGTGAAAGGGTCATTCGACCCCCAAAGGGGTCGCGACCCACAGGTTGAGAACTGCTGAATTAGCACTAAAATTAAGTTGGAAAAAGGCAAAACCCAAAGTTCAAATTTATTTGTGGGTTTGGTAAAGGCTATAGCAGTTGTAGGTAATCATTTGGAATAACACCTTTTCACTTGATCTGTATGCTTTCTTTGTTTAAGCCTTTTATTTTTTAATTTTTTATTTATTTTATTAAATCTTTATTGTTCAGATTATTACAGTTGTTCCTCTTTTTTTCCCCCCATAGCTTCCCCCCACCCGGTTCCCACCCCACCCTCTGCCCTTACCCCTCCCCCACTGTCCTCATCCATAGGTGTACAATTTTTGTCCAGTCTCTTCCCGTACCCCCCACACCCCTTTACCCCCAAGAATTGTCAGTCCACTCCCTTTCTATGCCCCGATTCTATTATATTCTTGGTTTAAGCCTTTTTTAAAAAATATTTTTTTCATTGATTTTTATTTATTTATTTTTCATTGAGTTTTAGAGTAGAAGGAAGGGATGGGGAGAGAGAGAGAGAAAAACATCAGTGTGAAAGATATACATCAGTTGGTTGCCTCCCGCACTTGCCTCCATCAGGGGATGGGGCCTGCAACCCAGGTGCATGCCCTTGACCCTTTGGTGCTCTGGCTGATGCTGTAACTACTGAGCCATGCCAGCCAGGGTGGTTTAAGTCTTTGAGACATTTTATTGTTCATACAAGAAATATATATGGTTTTGTATATCCTGTTCAGTTAAAGGAATGAGAAAATCTCATTGTATTATAATTGACAATTTAGTTTTCTCCTTAGTTTGTCCCTTGAGTAAGGCATCTCATAGATGTTCTGAAGGCTGTGCTGCTACACAGAGGATTTCTTGTTCCTTAGGCAGAGTTGTTAAGTCTGCTTATTACTTTCAGGGAGCATGTGTGTTTGATGCTTTTTGCTTTGAGTTACTTGAGTAGCAGGTTTTCTGAGTCTTAAAGAGATTGCTAAGACTGTGATGACTCTGTGGGCCCAGGCTCTTTGGAATTTATACTAAAAGTACTCTGGGCTGTGCTTGCTTTGGCAGTACATATACTAAAATTGGAATGATACAGAGAAGATTAGTATGCTAGTAGCCTCTGTGCAGGAATGACATGTAAATATGTAAAGCATTCCATATCTAAAAAACAATTAAAAATATAAGTACTCTGGGCCAAGGTTCTTTTGGATGCAGAATATGTAGAAAAAAATCTATATGAACCGAGTTAAAGACGGCTCCCGCGGAGTACGCGCAATTCACGCGAGCCGACTTAACTTGTTTCCCGCACTCCAAGTGCTAAAATTGGAATGATACAGAGAAGATTAGTATGCTAGTAGCCTCTGTGCAGGAATGACATGTAAATATGTAAAGCATTCCATATCTAAAAAACAATTAAAAATATAAGTACTCTGGGCCAAGGTTCTTTTGGATGCAGAATATGTAGAAAAATAATTTTTCACTATGAATTTTGTTCTTAGCAAATCAGTCTGTAGCAAAATCTGATCACATATCTGTTCGTCCAAAATCTGAACTTAAATGATAAGTAGCACTTTGTGACTAGGTCTCTGTTAGTTCATCATTGTATCATTCTTAAAGCTAACTAGGGAATTTTAGGGCTCCATAAAGCCCACCAGAAAATAAGCCTCAAATATTCTTAGTAATAGATTAGCAAGAGCATAGCCTCTTTCCATTTTTGTTATTGTTATTAGAATAATATGTTTTGAAACCGCCAAATTGTGTTTTTAATGCCAAAACCTGTAAGGCTTCATTAAAAAAAAATTGTGACAAAATATACATAACATAAAAGTTACTATTTTTACTTTTTAACTGTACAGTTAGTGACATTAAGTACATTTGCTCTGTTGTCTAACTATCATTACCAGCTATTTCCAGAATTTTTCATCTTCCTAGACTGACACTCTGCATTCATTAAACAACTTTCCAGTCTTCTATACCCCTGTCCCTGGTAGCCACCCCTTCTATGTTCTGTCTCTGTGAACTTGACTATTCTAGGTACATCATAAATGGATCCTATCTAATAAAGAGGGAATATGCTAATTGACACAGATGGCCGGCAGGGGAGGGCAGTTGTGGGTGATCAGGCCAGCAGGGGAGGGCAGTTAGGGGCGACCAGGACTGCAGGGGAGGGCAGTTGGGGGCGACCAGGACTGCAGGGGAGGGCAGTTAGGGGCAACTGGGCTGGCAGGGGAGGGCAGTTGGGGGTGATTGGGCCGGCAGGGGAGCAGTTAGGCGTCGATCAGGCCGGCAGAGGAGTGGTTAGGGGGTGATCAGGCTGGCAGGCAGAAGCGGTTAGGAGCAATCAGGCAGGCAGGCAGGCAGGCGAGTGGTTGGGAGCCAGCAGTCTGGGATTGTGAGAGGGATGTCCAACTGCTGGTTTAGGCCCAATCCCAGATTGGAGAGGGTGCAGGCTGGGCTGAGGGACAAACACTCCCCCCTCGCCCCCCAGTGCACGAATTTTGTGCACCAGGCCTCTAGTTATACAATATTTGCCCTTTTGTGTCTGGCTTATTTCATTTAGCATAATCTTTTAAAGATTCATCCATGCTATAGCAAATGTCAGAATTCTTTTCTTTTTTTTTAATCCTCACCTGAGGATATGTTTTTTATTGATTTTAGAGAGAGGGAGGGAAGGTGGGAGGTGGGGGTAGAGAGGAGAGAGAGAGAGAGAGAGAGAGAGAGAGAGAGAGAAAGAGAAACATTGATGTGAGAGAGAAACATCCATCAGTTGCCTCCTGTATGCACCCCGACTGGGGATCAAATCCATAACTTGGGTGTGTGCCCTGATTGGAATCGAACCCGACACCTTTTGGTATATGGGATGACGCTCCAACCAACTGAGCCACTCGGCCAGGCAGAATTTTTTTTTCTGTTTAAGACTGAATAATACTACTTAAGGTTTTGGGGGGTTGGCTTAAATTATCCAGCCAATCATCCTGTGGATTAACTATTTCCATATTCCTTTTTTTTTTAACCCCACCCAAAGACTGTAATAAGCTTAAAAACATAAACTGCACTGTAATTACATCCCAAACAGTTACTTGTACTTAATCTTTTGTGAGCAAGTTAACTTCATGTAGCATATTTAAGCTTAATTTTATTATTTTTATTCTTTATTTTTTTAAATATGTTTTTATTGATTTCAGAGAGAAAGGGAGAGGGTGAGAGAGATAGAAACATTAATGGTGAGAGAGAATCATTGATCGACTGCCTCCTGCACACCCCACACTGGGGATCGAGCTGGCATGTGCTCTGATTGGAAATCAAATTGTGATCTCATGGTTCATAGGTTGATGCTCAGCCACTGAGCCACACAGACTGGGCTTTAAGCTCAATTTTAATGGTTATTCTCTGTCCAAATAAGATACCCTTTAAAAGTAGTCTTGCCCTAGCCAGTTTGGCTCACTGGATAGAGTGTTGGCCTGTGGACCAAAGGGTCCTGGGTTCGATTCTGCTCAAGGGCACATACCTCGGTTGTAGGGTTCACCCTGGCCAGGACCCTGGTCAGGGTGCGTGCAGGAGGCAACTAGTCCATGTGTTTCTCTCACATCGATATTTCTCTCTGTCTTTTCCTCTCTCTAAAAATTGATGGGAAAATATCCTTGGGTGAGGATTTAAAAATAAACAAACAAACAAATAAATAAATAAATAGTAGTCTTTAGCCCTGGCTGGTGTGGCTCAGTTGGTTGAGCATCATCCCATGCACAAAAGGTCACCAGTTCAATTCCCAGTCAGGGCACATGCCTGGGTTGTGGGCTCTATCCCCAGTAGGGGGCATGCAGGAGGCAACCGATCCATCAATGTTTCTCTCTCTGTGTTCCTTTCTCTCTCTAAAATCAACAAAAGCATATTTTAAAAAAAAATAATGTTTAATCCGGCCAGCATGGCCCAGTTGTTGAGCATGGACCTATGAACCAGGAGGGTGAGGTTCGGTTCCTGATCATGGCACATGCCTGGGTTGTGGGCTTGATCCCCAGTAGGGGGTGTACAGGAGGCAGACGATCGGTGATTCTCTCATCATTGATGTTTCTATCTATTTCCCTCTCCCTTCCTCTTTTATATATATATATATATTTTTTTTTTTTAAAGAAAAAAAGTAGTCTTTACTAATTTTGTTTTTCCCATTTATGTAAACCATTGGGCTTCAGAATAGGAAGAGAAATAGAACCAACTATTTTAATTACTGTGGTTGAATTTATCACTACTTTGGTGACCATGAACACTAAACCTATTTTCTCTTAATCTTACCTAACTATAAAGTAGAGCCAGTACCTGTCTAAGGTTTAGAAATGTTTGATAATTTAAAATACTTATAGGTGAAAGCTAGATGGAAACTAGAACTCAAGAAAAGGTAATTTCTAAAGTCTAGATTTTCTACTGTACTTAGAAATCCTTAGGAAATTAATTTTATATATCAGCAATAAAAGCTGATGACAGCAAAAAGAAAAATTATTGCTGATGGATTATGATTCTCTTTCTGCTTCTACCTTTGTCTAATAAGAGAAAGCTTTTCTCTTTTGTCAGTTTCACTCTGTTAATTCAGTTACTTAAATTTAAAAAAAGATGTTATTTTGTCCTGGCTGGTGTGCATCAGTGGGTAGAGCATTGGTCCGAGCACCAAAGGGTGGCAGGTTTGATTCCTGGTCAAGGGCAAGTACCTGGGTTGCAGGTTCCATCTCTGGCAAGTGCAGGAGGCAACCAATCTATGTGTCTCTCTCACATCCATGTTTTTCTCGCTATATCTCCCTCCCTCCCTCCCTCCCTCCCTCCTTCCCTCCTTCCTCACTCCCTTCTACTCTGTCTAAAAATCAATGGAAAAAATATCCTTGGGTAAGGATAATAACAAAAAAAAATTGATTTTAAAAAATCAGATCTTTTCCATTAGAAGTCTTTGTAGTTACTAATGATAGAAGAAATCTGTGGACCAAAACAAAATAGAAATTAAAATATTGGTTCTATAATAAAAATATATTTTTCCTTTTTAATACATTAATACAGTTTTTCTCAATAGGTATACTAAATTTGAAGAATTTAGACCACTTTTTATTAACTTAGGCTCTGAAGATCTAATTTGTCATTTATACAGTTGAGTCCTGTAGTGCTTTCCCATATCTTTTGCAATATTTGGAGAATCACCAGTTAGAGCTGAATCATTTCTGAGGAACTTTACCTGGGTAAATTGGATTGAGAGACCCCTTGATTCAGTAGAACCTCATTGAGACAAAACAGCAGGTAGCCTGTTACATTGACTGGTTTGGACTCTCTCACCTTTTCCTAAGGAACAAAGAATCACTCACTTTATATTTTGCATCTTAGGTCATCTTTGTGTGTATGTGTGTGTGTATTAAAATAACACACAAGTAACCATTTTTAAGTATGTAGTTCAGTGTGTACATTCACATTGTTGTGCAACCATTACCACCATCTGTCCCAGAACCTTTTCATTCCAAACTGATGCTGTCTGTATCCATTTAACAACTCTCCATTCTCTTCCCCAAACCCTTAGCAGCCAACATTTGATTTTCTGTCTCTATAATTTGACTACTTTAGTTACCTCATATAAATGGAATCATATAGTATTTGTCCTTTTGTGATTGGCTTATTTCACTTAGCATAATATACTAAAGATTCATCCAACTTTTGTAGCATATGTCAGGATTTCCTTCTACTTTTAAAGGCTGATTAATATTCCACTATATGTTGATACTACATTTTGTTTATGCAGTCATCTGTTGATGGATACTTGGGTTGTTTTTACCTTTTGGCTATTACACATGCTATGAATGTGGATGTGCAATTGTCTCTTCCAGTTCCTGCTTTCAGTTCTTTTTGTTATGTACTCAGAAGTGGAATTACTGAATCATATGGTACTTCTAATTTTTTGAGGAACTGCTATACTGTTTCCATTTTACTGTCCTGCCAGCAATGCACAAGGAATCCAGTTTCTTTACATGTTAAATTCTGTTTTTTGATAGTAGCCATCCTCAGTGTGAAAGGTATCTCGTGGTTTTTATTTAAATTTCTCTAACAAGTATTCATGTTGAGCATCTTTTTTTTTTTAAAAAAAATATTTTATTGATTTTTTACAGAGAGGAAGGGAGAGAGATAGTTAGAAACATTGATGAGAGAGAAACATCGATCAGCTGCCTCCTGCACACCTCCTCCTGAGGATGTGCCCGCAACCAAGGTACATGCCCTTGACCGGAATCGAACCTGGGACCTTTCAGTCTACAGGCGGACACTCTATCCACTGAGCCAAACCAGTCAGGGCTTGAGCATCTTTTTGTGTGCGTTTTGGGCCATTTGTATATTTTCTTTGGAGAAATGTCTGTTCAAGTTCAAAGGTGCCTATGTGCATCTGATTTAT